AATAACTGTGAATGTTGCTGCAGCAGAACATGGATTTTTTTTTTTTTAATGTGGGATTTTCTAGTCAGATGTGGAACAAAATCATTGTTATGCAATTTGAGATTTAACTTTTAAGACTGACATTTGTACAGTTTCAGTTAAAAGTTGGCAAATACCATTGTGAAGAATATCTTGTAGTGTGACCAAAACCCACAGAATGTTTACTGAATGGACCTTGTGGCAAGACTGTTATGTCAAATTTGGCTTTCCTAAAAAATTACATTCCCATGTCTACCGGTGTGCATTGGTAAATGCATTTTTCCATTTTGCTTGTGCAAATGTCTGGCTGCTGTGGGATTGATTCAAAGTTGTCAAAGGAAGATTTGATTCCACTGCTCCCTATGTTTAAAACACATATTTGGTTTAGCAGCATAGCAAGTCATTGTAAACCAAAAGACTGAAGTCAGTGTGTAATATGAGTCTTTTAAAATTTTGTCAATTCAAGTCTTAAGCCACCAGATTCATTAGGCAGCTCTCTTACCTGTGTCTGGTACAATACTGAATACATTTACTGACTGGCTTTAGTACAGTTTAAGCATATACTATCTAAAGAGGCAACCATGCCATCAGGGGCATGTGTTAGACCTCAGGCCAGTCACAGACAACAGATGTCTGCCACTAATCAGTGTCACTGAGTTGTTCTGGCAAGAGGTTTTCTTTTTTTCAGCAAAATGTTTAATTAAGGAGAAGCCGTGTACGTTGTGGACCAAACTGACCAGTATGTCACAGAGGAAGTGTTGTATGATTTTGACCTGGCACTGTCTGAGCGTGAGGCGATTGATGAGCTTTGACCTTTTGCTTGCCAATGAGCATAAAGAATTTATTCCTGGCAGACAATATACACACAGATCACTTCTCCACTTAATCACTCCCCGAGTCAGTGTGGTTAGTGTTAAACTGATTTAATGTTTTATTATCCACTCCAAACTGACCCAGCTCACTGTGCCTGCCCCCACCTGTCAGTGGATCACTAGCTTTCTGACAGCCAGGAAGCAGCAGGTCACATCCAGCACCCAGACAATAAGCACAGGTGCCCCCCAGAGATGTGTGCTCTCCCCTCTGCTGTTTTCACTCCACACCAACAACTGCATCTCGAAGGATCCCTCTGTCAAGCTCCTAAAGTTTGCTGATGACACAACGGTCATTGGTCTCATCTAAGATGACGACGAGTCAGCCTACAGACGGGAAGTTGAGCAGCTGGTCCTGTGGTGTAGCCACAACAACCTGGAGCTGAACACACTCAAAACAGTGGCGATGACAGTGGACTTCAGGAAGAGCCCTCCCACCTTACCCCCGCTTACCATACTTGGCAGCACTGTATCAGCAGTAAAGTCCTACAAGTTCCTGGGCTCCACTATCTCTCAGGACCTGAAGTGGACGTCCAACATCAGCACCATCACCAAGAAGGCACAGCAGAG